GCCCCGCCGTGCTGCCCCCACCTCTGCGCCCCCCTCGATTTTGCCCCCCCCGCTGGGCGAAGGGTCCCACCGCCAGTGCCGCTTCCCCGCTGCCTCCAGTGCCTCTTCATGCTGGCCGTCCCAGGGACGAGGCCTGGCTGAGCGGCTCGCTCGCTCGCTTGCTCGGCACTGTCCCCTGCAGGGAGCCCCGCGAGGCAGGCATGCGGCAGCACCTGGCTGGGGACCCTCTGGGGGCGCTGCAAACGCATCCCCGCACGCCACCAGTGCAGTGGCGGCACACTGGCGTGCGGTTGGGACGCCGGGGCCTCCTTGGGGCCAGCATGCCTAGTGGCCATGCCAGGGCTGTCCCGGCCCCCCGCCGGGGTCTGCCCAGTCCCCTCCTCGAGTCACCCCAGCTGGCCGTCCCCCACACTTCTCCGGGGAGCGGCTGCCATTGTTCCTGCAGAGGAGGGGCCTCTCCGTCTGTCCCGACTCTCCCACCCATCAGCATCACGAGGAAGGGAGGGAGGACCCCCCCCGCCAGGCCCAGTTGTGCACACCTCCCGTGCCCCCCCCCCCGCGTGCCCGCTAAGCGTTGCCAGTTGCCGGAGTCTTCCCGTGCGGGGCCCGCTTGGCCCCTGAACCGCTTGGGTCGCACTTCTCGGCGCCCGATTGTCACCCGCGGTGTCCAAACCCACAAACAGCATTGCAAGTGTGGTTGTGTCCTAAACGTGTGGAGGGGCAGCTTTATTTTCAGTTCCTCTCCTAATTGTGTCTCGGCCGGAACGCACCCTTTTCACGGCTGCCACACGCCTGCTTGAATTTCCCGCCACAGCCGTCGGTCACGGCTGGCTCAGAGCCCATCCGCTTACCCCGGAAGTTGGGGGGGTTTGCCCCCGCCGCCCCCGCTGCTGGTTGGCCACCAGGCAGGCGCTTGTTTGGATCCAGTGTAGGCTCTGGAGATGCTGCTTCCCCGGGGCCGGTGCAGGGGCTTCCTTTGCAGCCCCCGATCAGCTTTCTTGCCCTCCCGCAAGCCCCCTCCAGCTTGCCTGCGTCTTTCCTAAACTGGACACGGGGCCCCAGGGGAGGCCGAGGAAAGGGGAGCAGGGGCTTCACGGGACCTGGAAGTGATCCTTCGATTAACGCAGCCGAAGGGGGCGTGTGCCCTTTCTCGGACTCCTCGCCCTGCGGCGCGTGTTCGGTGGGTGATCGGCTCCGGTTCCAGGATGCTCCTCGCGGGCGGCCTGGTTGCGCCACGTGTGCCCGCCTTGTGGCGGTTTGCTCGGTTCCTTCCTCTGTCGTGCGCGTGTGCGAACGCTGGACCCTTCCAGCATTCAGTGCCCAGGTCGGTCCCTCCACTGGGATCAGGTGCAAACCGCACCCTCGCGTTCTGCCCTCAAGCATAGCCTGAAAACTGGACTGTCGCGCGGCGCTTCCCGGGCCTGTTCATGCCGACGCGGCTGTGCCAGGCGAGGGTGCTGCAGAGACGGGGCCAGAGCCGAGGCCCCCCCCCCCCCGTTCTTCTCCTGCTCCTTCGCCTCCTCCCCGTGCAGCCGTGCCTCAGAGACGCGCAGATCACAAACGCCTGTGATCCTCCCGTTGCCACGGCAACTTGATGCATTTTCCCGCTGCTGGCGCAACAGCCCGCGCTGCTTGGAGCGCCTCTCGCCACCTGGGAGCTGCCCTGATGCCAGAAAAGCGCCCGGCTGCATCGGCCGAGGCGGCTCCGTCGACGGCCGCGCCCCAGGCGCCAGCCGGTGCTTCTCGGAGAGGTCCTGCGGGGGGGGGGGGACACACACATAGCAGGCGCTCGCCGCTCTTCCCCCGGACAAGGCGCCCCCCGGACTGCTTCTGGTCCCCTGACGGGCCAAGCAGGCACGGTCACGCTCGTCTTGAGCTGTGGCAGGCCGGTTCTTCAGCGGAGGGGGCAGGGGGATCGGAGCGGGGCCCTTGGTGGGGGGAGAGGGACGCGGCCCTTCTTCCGGCCCCATCTGCGTGGACCCAGCACTGCTGTTGCGATGGAAAGAGCTCTCCCCGGGACACCTCCCCCTTGTGCCTAGCAGGCTCGTCTGCCTGTAGCCTGGAGCAGGGCTGCGGGTGGGGGGGGAGGACGAAGCCGCCCTCCGCTACACTCACAGTCCAGCCACACTGGCTTAGGATCACAGAATAGCAGAGTGGGAAGGGGCCACGGAGGCCATCAAGTCCACCCCCTGCTGTTGCAGGACACCAAGTCGCACCACCCCACACACAGGGCTGCCCAGTTTCGCCCTGAATGTCCCCAGTGGGGGAGAGCCCCCCCCCCCCTCCAGGCAGCCAGTTCCCCTGTCGTGTTGCTCTGGCAGTGAGGAAGCTTCTCCTGATGCCCAGCCTGGATCCGGGTTGTCGCAGCTTGGCTTGATTGCTCCGTGTCCTGCACTCCAGCATCAGCAAGAAGAGATCTTGACCTTCCTCTTTCCGACGGCCTTGGAGGCGCTTACGTGGCTTAAAACCTCAGGAATGCAAGGGAGGAAGGGCTGCGTAGCCCCCCGTTTCTACTGGCTCGCAGCTAGAGGTTGCCCTCGCCAAACGCTTCTGGGGGGAGGTCCACCTACCGGGGTGCCTGTGCAAAGCAGCCCTTCCTTCGCCCGTCTCGGGTCTCCTGCCGTGGTTGTCGGGTGAGCCCAGAACCTGGCCCGGAGAGTTTCCACTGGGCCTAGGCGACCGCACAGCGGGGACAGCCGAGCCGAAGAGCAGCCCGGGGGAGTGGGCCCCCCGAAGGAGCCATCAGGGCTGGAATGAGCTGCCAGCCCCCACGTGGGAAGCTCTCCTGCACAGGCCCCGCGGAAGGGGATGAGCTGCTGGCGGGTCGTGCTGAGGGGGCCCTTGGGGCATTCTGCGTGCCACTCGCCTCGCTTGCCGGAGGGGCTGAATGGCCAGGATCCATTGTCTGGAGGACTGCTGCTGCTGCTGCTCCCACCAAAGGATGCTCAGCCACCGAAGGGAACAAGGCAGCCCGGGAAGGTTTCTCGAGCCTCCCAGAGTTCGTGTACTCCCGTCAGGAGCAGGCGGGAGCGCCAGCTTCCAGGCGACCTGTGTTGTGAGGGGGGTTTTCCTGCCTGGAACTGGAGTCTCGAAGCCCCTCTCCCAAGAAGCTCCGCTTGCTCCCAGCCGAGTGACCATCACAAAACCGGCCCTCACGAGGAAGCCCTGCAGGGTGGGCAGCGGCGGCCAGCGAGCGCTTCAGCAGCGGTGGAAACGGAGCGCACAGCCACACCTCCTCGCATGCGCAGGCAGCTGGTTGCACTGTGCGTCATGGGAAAGAGCCGTGCAGGCACGGAGCCATGGCGCCTCTGAGGGGGTGGCCCCGCTCAGGCAGGGGATGGCGGGCTGCCTGGGAGCTCTCTGTTTGCGTCCTGGGGCAGATGCCCCTTCTGCTGGCTGGCGGTGGAGCCGCCCCTCGCTTGGCAGCCTCCGCATCGGCCCCGCTCTCTGAGGGAGCCTTCCTCCAACGAGAGGCCGCGAGCAGGCAGAAATGCCCCGGTACAGCGACACCCCCGCCTGGCTGGGCTGCTGTTCCCCACCCACGGAGGCGGCGGGGAAGCGCACTGAGGCTCCTCGGGCAGGCCGCAGTGGCCCGGTGCAGCTCTGCCTGCGTGTTCCCCGCGCTGCCTCCACTTCGGACTCGGGTCTCGGCTGCCGCTCCTCCCGGTGCAGGGCCCACAGCACAGGACAAAGCAGCGGCAATGAGCGGGAACTTGCAGGGAAAAGCCTCTTGAAACGAGGGCTGTGTTTCCGGGACGGGTGTCGTAAAGCGGGAGGGGGACTCGCCCCCCCCCAGGCCCGAGGGCACGTGCAGGAGGCTCCCCTTAGGCCAGCCTGTCCGTGGCTGAAGCCCCGGCCGGACACCCCGCTCCTTGCAGTGGGCACCGGCGCTGGTGCCCCTGGGCTTGGGTGAGGCGCAGTCTGGGCCTCTGGGGGCTGCGGGGGGGGGGGGGGGGGTGCTGCTCTGGCAGCCCCCCCCCTCCAGTTGTGCTAGGGGTAAAATCAGTGCAGCATCTCCTGGCCCCTTGCGGAGAGGCACCCCTGCGCTGGCCTTGCAGTTGCGGCACGGCCCGCTTTCTTGGGCGCAGCTGGAGGGTGGCCGCAGTCCCGCTGTGTGTGTGTGGCCTGCCTGGAGTGAATCCCCCTCTCGTTTTCCTTCTGCTTTCGTGGAAGGAGGCCAGGCCCGGGGGACCGCGGCGTCTCCGACCCCAGCAAAGCGCTCTGCTGAGGGTCTTCTCGCACCGGGCCTGGTTTCCGGGCTCGCCTCGGGCACCCCTGCACTGCCGCCTGCTTTCAGCAGTGGCCTGGGGAACCCCGGCCATGCCCAGGAAAGCGGGTCTGGGTGGCCCCCCTAGTAGTGGCTCCGCGTGGCCCCGAGAGCCGCATCACTTGGCCCCAGTGGGCGTGAGCACCAGCTGCCCTGGAGTGGCTCTCTTGATGCCTGCTGGAAGTCACCGTCACCGTCAAAGCTCTCCGAGCAGTTCAGCAGCGTTTGCAGACCTTGCTTCTGTGCAGGGCACAGGGGGCGGCTTTGCCACGGCTCCGGCCGCCCTGGGGCGGCAGGGCCTGCTCTTCTGAACTCACACCCAGGGCCCGGCTTCTTCTCGGCCTGCAAGCGGGCAGCCACCTTGGGGAGGTGTCAGGGGCCACTGCAGCAGTTCCAGCTGTTAGAGAATCTTCCTGGGCCTTTGCCCCAGTTCTCTGCTGTAAGTTGGCCCGGTGGCCACTGGCCACTGCTCCAGTTTGAGGAACTTGCGGTATTTTCCATGCTACCCTCTAATGTCAGCTGCTAAGAGCCCATCCAAAGCCATTTACACCTCCCGAATCCATCAGCGGTCCTTGTTGGGCATGCAAGCCAAAGTGCATTGGAGCTAACTGATCACCCCTAAAGTAACTTGAAGTGCATTCTTGTGTTGTGCTGCTAACTTTTAACGGTGACTTGACTTGAGGACTGCCTTCCCACACACACGCCTCCTTCTTTCTCTTGTCCTCCCTTGCAGTGCCTTTCAGAGAAACCCCGAGCTACACGAAGAGGAGGCGGATCATCGGTGTGGGCGGCCTCTCCTCCCCCCGCCTGCTGCAGAGGTCCGCCAGCGACAACAATTTGAAGTCCGAGAGCCGCCCGTCCTACTCCCCGGTGCCCTCGCTCCGCGGCCTGCCCCCACAGCTGCTGGCTCAGATGCAGGGAGTGGCCGCGGGGGCGGGCCTGGGGGACAGTGGCCCCGTGAGCACGGGCAGCTCCCGGAGCACCCACAGCCGCTCCCCATCGCTGCAGCGCGTGCAGGAAGAGAAGGAGGCCGATGCCCACACGTTCCGCAGGAGCAGCCGCGGGAAGGCCAGGTGAGCCGGGCGGGCTGGCCCGCTGCTGGGGGGGCTGCGGCGGCCACTGGGCCTCACCGGGCCTGCCGCCCGGGTGGCCGCACTGCCCTCCGGCGCATCTCGGGAGCAGTGCTGGACAGCTCCCGCCCTCCAAGGCCCTGCCTCCTCCTCCTCCTCCTCCTCCTCCTCCTCCAGCGCCTGGAGAGCCGGGAGCTGTCCGTGGTGCCGCCGCCGCGCTCGCCTCCCAGGGTGCCCATGTGCCCCGTGGGCTGCCGCTGCCCCCCCACCGCCCCCCCATCCCGTCCCTGACAACGTGCTCCTCGATGCTGTAGTAACATTTGCCATTGGCATGGCAACGGCGCCTCGCGGAAGCGCTGCGATTCGCGGGAGGGAGCGCCTTGCAGGCAATAAAGCGGCCTCTGGCCAGGCCAGCGGAGCCGCGCATGCCTCCTCGCGCTGCCTTGCGTGGGATCGGGTCGCCGTGGGTGCGGCCGCACGGCGGGCGTGGAAGTCCTGGCGAGGGCAGGCCCTCCGGCCACCTGTGGGCAGGGCGGGGGGGGGGCCTCCGGGGCCTGCGCAATGTCGCGGATCCTCCGCTGTGCGTGTGCGCATGTGCGCGCGATGGGCAGCGGGTGACCTGCGCGTGACGTGCACGCGGGTGGGGCGGCATCTGTGTCCGGGGTTCCGTGCACGCCTCTCCTGGCCGTGCCGGGCGTGGGCATGGCTGAGGAGTGTGTCTCGGGAAGGGCGGTCGTTCCTGTTGTGCCCTGGGAAGCTACACAAGAGGAGACCCAACACCCCCAGCTGGCACAATTCGGGAGGGAAGGCCCAACGGCAGGGAAGGGGCTGCTGGCAATGGGGAAGGGGGGGCGGGCGCATAGCCCGGTCGGGCTGTCGTCGGTGTGGGTGTCGGGTCCTGGCAGAGAGTTGCGCGCCCCGACTGGCTTCGGTTGCCCATGCCGCGTCTCGGTTGCCCGTGGCTCTGGGGAGGCCCTGCTTGTCTGCCTCCTCATGCGGTGGGCCCGGCCGTGGGGGGCTTCCAGGCTCCCCTGATCCTGGGCTTTGAGGATGAAGCAGTCTTACCTCTTGGTCTGGGGGAGTGTCAGTGCGGGGCGGGCAGCCAAGGTGCAGAGTCAGTGAGAAGCAGGTTCGTGGCAGGAGGCGGGGGGGGGGGGCGTCTGCACGGTGCTCTTGGTCTCTCTGCGGCAGCCTCAGGGTTAGACAGAAAGCAGCGGCTGCTGCCCAGGCCTCCCGCGCCCCTCTGTGCAGGGGAGCCACTCTCCCGATAGAGGCACGCAGCCCGGGTTCCACCCATCGCACGGGCTCTTCCCGGGCGCCCTTTGCACTTCGCTGGGGGGTCTCAGTTCTCCGCTCCAGTGCCTTCCCTCCCCGTCTTTCCTTCCCGCCGCACCTCAGTCTGTCCGGACGGTGAGCCTGCAGGCACCTCTGCCAGCAGCCCCGATGAAAAGGATGCAGACGAGGTGGGTGTTTGCATCCGCCCCACGTCTCCTAACAATTCTGCGTGGCGAAGGGTTGCAGCCCTCCCCTTGGAGAGCCGGCCTCCCCGTGCGCACCCAGCCCGTGACAGGGCAGAGCCCCCGGCTGCACGCCTGCGGCCGTCTCGCCAGGTGTGCCGGGCCACAGGAGGGCCCAGGGTCACCCTTGGGGCGATCCAGAGTGTGCCGGAGGAGAAGGACCGACCGTCTGCCTCCCTTGAGGCGAGACGTGGGGGGCGGCGAGCTCTGGGAGCCAGTGATCCCATGGCAGAGGTCGAATTAGCAGAGCTGGGGAGACCGAAAAGCCTGTGCCCAGTTCCAGGATGCTGTGGGCAAAAGCTGCCCCATGAGTGAAATACCGGGCAGATTCTACTTCTGGATCTTTCAGGCCCTTCCAGTTGCGCTGCAGATTTGACAACCACGTGTATTGCACAAGGCAGTAAGCATTTCTAAAGTGCAGTCCGAGACACGTTTACCTTGCGGGAGGTCCGTAAGCCATCAGGTTACACAGAATTCTTCCTAGCACTCAGTGGAAGAACTCTGCAAGGACGGGCGCCTGGCTGGCCGGCTCGCATTGCCACAGCGCGCCCGGTCTGCGGGGCCAGGGCCGTGGCCCGGGGATCGGCCCAAGCCTTTCAGGCCACCGGAGAGGGCAGAGGGGCCGCTGACGGGGCGTTCCCAGAGGAGCGGGGGCTCCGCAGGGCCCCACCACCTCCAGCCTCCTGCGAGGAGGCGGCTCTGGCCCTGCGCACCGGCAGAAGAATCGGCCGGCAGCCGCTGCCTGTTCCTGTTCTCCCGCTGGAGCCTTCCTGGCCACGCAGCCTCAGGCTGGCGCTTTATTGCAGAGCCGACAGGAAGAGCCTGGGGGGCTTACTTTTAATATTCCCTGACCCGTCCCCGGAGGCCTGGCCGTAATCAATTGCCTGCCTCCGCCCGCTTGTGCGCTCGCTCGCTCGCTCGTTTATTAGTCATGCGGACTCATTTGCTCCCACCCACCCCGAATCCCTTTATTGGATTTCAGCTCGGTGTGCAGGAGGCAGCCCCAGGCGCGGGTGGTGGGCCTTGGCGGCGAGGTGGGGGGGGGGTCTCCCCTTCCCGGACAGGCTGGAGGGGCTGCGCCCTCCTCCTCGGCCTGCGCTGCAAAATCTGAGCCGCAGCCTGTTTCCCACCAATTACAGTGGGGCCCAATCCACCAGCCAGTGCTCCTGCACAAGTGCTGTTGAAACAACAGCTCGGTCCAAAACCGGCAGCAAAGGCAAAATCGATGGGCTGGAGAAGCACGGCGGTGGGGCAGCTCCTGCATGTCGGCGCTGCAGGAGATGCTCTGCTCTGCCACGCAGCCACCCCAGCTGCCCAGGGCGCACCCAGCCCCTGCTGCTGGGGTTCACGGCACTCCCTCGCTGTCCTGCTGCCGGGGCTGCCACAGATCTGGGGGGCGTTCCTTGAATGGTCTGGTCGGCATCATAAGTGCAGGGTAGGGGACAAGTGGCTGGAGAGCAGCGCTTGCGAAAGGGACCTCGGGGTGCCGGTTGACTGCAGGCTGAACATGAGCCAGCAGGGTGATGCGGTGGCCAAGAGGGCGAACGGCACCCTTGGCTGCAGAGCCAGAAGTGTGGCTTCCAGATCGAGAGAGGTGTTACTGCCACTCTGTGCGACTTTGGTGTGCCCACAACTGGAGTATTGTGCTCAGTTCTGGGCCCCTCATTACAGGAAGGATATAGCCAGGTTGGAGTCAGAGCAGCGAAGGGCCTCAAGGTTGGTGGCCAGTTTGCAGGGGAAGCCGTGTGAGGCGAGACTGAGGGAACTGGGTCTCTTCAGCCTGATGGAGACTCAGAGGGGATGTGTTGGCGACATACAGGTATGTGAGGGGGTGTCACATGGAGGTGAGGAGAGACCTGTTCTCCCCTGCAGAGGAAGGCAGGACACCCTCCAATGGAGCAAAGCTCAGGGAGCCAAGGCTCAATTTGGATGCCAGGAAGCACTTCCTGACAGTTAGGACCCCGAGGGTGTGGAATGGGCTTCCACGAGAGGTTGTTGAGGCCCCATCGGTGAGGGTGTTCAAGGATAGGCTGGACATGCACATGGTGGGCATGTCGTGAGCGGAGCCAGCTGGAGCCAGGGGTCAGACTAGATGGCCCGGAAGGCCCCTTCTGACTCGCTCTGTTTCTATGTTTCTATGAGAGCCGCTTTTCGTTTCGAAGACACAGCCCTGTGCCACCCTGGGCATAAAACGTGTGGCAGCCCCCATGCCAGGGCTCCGCACCCTCGTTTCAGCCTAAGTGTGCACAGAGCTGTGCCAGAACTGTCCTGTGCCGGCCACGGGGGCCTCTTCTGGGAGAAGTCGTTGCAGCATGCGGCAGAGATGCGGTGGTGCTCTGCCAGGGCGGTTATGAGACGAGCCCGTAGTTCGCACATCCAGGCCACTCCTCAGAGCCCAAACGCCACCTCTGGCTTCTGGCATTAACACACAGAGGTTCTTCCAGGAGGACTCTGAGACCAGGTGCGTCTTTTCATATTTCCCTACAATCCTTCAGCAGTTTGTACTTTTATGTGAGAGCATTTGAACACAGGTATAAAAATGTAAATTAATTACAAGCAAAATACAATTCAAAATGCTTTATAAGTTTATCTTTTATGTGCATGCCTTTTTCAGTGAAGTAACTTGTACAAAGAATGTCTCCGAGCTGTTTTAAGGGCGTAACGCGTCAGGATGCGGCCCGATGTGTCTCTAAGCTCTGCTCCCCAGTTCTTGCGCTTTCTAATGAGCTGCTTATGGATGCTGTGTAAAGAATGCCGTTCAGGAGCTGGGCTCCTTAACAATGAGTTATTCTATTGTTCCAAAATTCCCAGCCATGATTTGCAAGTAATATGTTTACCCCGTATCTTTGTCAGCTTTGCTGAGCCACATTTCCTTACCAAAACACACGCTTTCGCCCCATCTGCGTGTTCCCCTGCAGGGCTGTTCTGTTGCCGCACCTTGAGCTGCTGCTCAGCCTTCCTTGCTTCCTAAAGCATTTTACTCCATCTTCACTTGTCCGCATCTTAAGGAGCAAGCGCGTTGGCTGGCGGGGCGGACGGGACGGGTCCCCTTGGCTTTCCCACACTACACGCTCAGAGGTCAGGGAAGGCCACGGCACGGCAGCCCCACCGCCTTGGCTGCAACGCCTCGCTCGGATAAAAGAGATCCCTGTGTAAAGCGGGAATACATCTGAACACCGCTTGCTCATTGACGAAGTCGCCGCCTCCGAGAGGACTGCAGAGGGCCAGTAGTCCCTCTGCAAGGTGTGTGTTCTGCAGGGCGGAGCAGGAGTTTTGCGCGCCCCCGAGGCGAGGGCTTCCGAGGCCACCCGGCCGGATCCAGGGATGCTGGTGGATTCTCTCCATTGCCGCCGCCTCCCTGGCTTCCCACGACAGGGCGGCTCCGATTCAGGTCCCATTCAGATCCCACTTCTGCAACCAGGGCAGGAGGAGCGGGTTGCTTGCTGCACTGACGCACCCCGTGGCTCCTCCGACTCAGGAAGGGGCTGCCGGTGCTGCTGCAGTGGGGTGGGGGCCTCCAGCGAGGCCCCCGTGTCACCACCAATTCGAAGCACGCTTGCGCCGTCCGCACTGCCAGCCCCGTCCTGGGAATGGCTACCAGGCGCGGCAGCTCCGGCAGAGTGTCCGTGGCTGGTGCAGGAGGCTGGGAAGCTCCGGCTCACGTCCTGCAGGAGAGGCAAGTCGGGCTCTGCAGGCAGGCTGGGGCTGGAGGCCGGGCACGCCTGTCCGTCCCCTGCTCCGCTCCGGCAAGGGGCAGGGTGTGGCTCCGCCTCCGGGGGGCGCCCAGGTTCCCCACCACTCAAAGGCCTGTTCCTCCAAGAGGGGCTTTGGCTGATTCCCCAGCCCCTGGCTGGGGGAGGCTGGGGGGCAGGGAGGGGCAGGGCAGTGGTGGGCAAAGGGGCCTCCCACGCAGGAGGGACGGGGTGGGAGTCGGGGGCCTGTCCTGGGGGACGGGGCGCTCCACGCGTGTCGCCACAGGCCTCCGAGAAAGAGAGGTGGGGGGGCCGCGGGTTCCAGTGCCGTGGCCAAGTTGGAGGACAGGCAGGGTGAGGGGCGAGGAAGTGAGCAGGTGCCCGTTGGCTTAGCGAGGCCGGAACCTGGCCAGGAGCCGGCCTGTGGCTTGTACGGCTGCCCGGGCACAGAAAGCCGCCTTCCGTTCCTGCTGGGCTTTGGAGAGAGACGCGCCTTCCACTGCATGTGACAGGGACTGGCTTGTGAAATATTTCCCCGGGAGGCGAGGAGGTAGCGCGGAGGTGGTGCTCCTTGCAGGCCCCGGTGCCCATCTGTTCTCCTCCCCAGTTGGAGTGGAGCTGACAGATTCTCCCCGCACCTAAAATAGGGCAGAGGAAGAAGGCTGCTGGCTCAAAGACGCTCGCAAACGAACCCCTTGGCTAGTTAAACATGGCTGAAAAATGGATCCTTTGAATGGCAGAACCGTGTGCCTCGGGTGAATTTCCCTTGGGCTGGAAAGATCTTTGCATCAAACCCCTGTTTAATATGTTCTTTCCAAGCGTATTACATGGTTAAAATATGTGGATGTTTCTCACACCGATCTGCACGTCAAAAGGCCATTCTGTCCGTTGACTGAGCATTGTTCAGCTCCCTCTTTGCGTCAGCTTCATAAACCGCGCGATCAAATGTGGCCTGGCGACTCTCGGTGTTCGCCTCTTTGCGATTTCCAGCCACCGCTTGCAGGTTAGGCCGTCCCATCACCTGCTTGCCCTCCGCTTGCGGTGCGCTGAGGTGGGGGGGGTGGCTTGGCCTGCGCTGGCCTCGTTTTCCTTTGCTAGATGGTCTTTGTGGACCTTCCGGCAGGGCCAGCATGAACCGCCTTCATGCGCATGGATCCTGTGAGGAGCGCACCACCCAAAGCAAGCACAGCAGTGTGTCTGGACTATTGTGCCACGATCCTTTGGGAACACTCGCTTTGGACGGCATTTGTGGTGGTTCTCAGGCCGGCTGGAGAGACCAGCTGGAAACGGGCGTGCTTCGGGCACCCCAGGCACTCCGGGTCCGGCATCTCTGCAAGCCCTAGGGGCACCCCTGCGCCCCCTTGTGGAGCTCCTAAGAACTCTGGGAAAGCTGCTCGTGGCAGTGGTGCCCCACAGGCCGAGTCCCCGGGGCCAGTAGCCTGGGCTTCCCGACTAGCCGCACACCAATGCACGAGCGTGGTGTGCTCACACGGCTGAGCAGGCCTTTCCTCACCGCATTGTCGTGACGGGTCCGGCGTCCATAGGTCCTTCTTGGGGCCTTCCTTGGGGGCCGCTTTATGGCACAGACTTGGCAGCTATGTTCCAAATGCACGACGAATGGGTGGCTGGAGTCGGCTGGAGCCGGGCGGCCTGCGCTTCGGAAGGACCCGACTGTGCTATGCGCGTCTTGCGGACCGCCGTGCCTCCTGCTGCACTGGCGAGCCGGGTCGCGGATGTGGGAATCGGGCCCGTGGCTGCCACAGGAGCTGGGCGTGGAGCAGCCCCGCCAGAGCCCGCGGGTGCCCTGCGGGCGAGCCGTGGGGAGCAGGGGCCGGGCCGGGTGACTTAACACCTGCACGCCCTGGCCTCGTCAGCTGCGCTGCGACCCGGCTTAGAGCAGTGCATTCAGTCCTGGTTGCTCGTGCTGGAAAACGTCCATATTGAGTGGGGACGAGCAGAGAGAAGGGCAACAGGACTGGCCCCGGTGCGGAGCAGCCGCCACGACTGGGACCGCTGGGCTTGGAGAAGAGGCGAGGAAGGGGAGGCCTGGCTGAGGCGCTTAAAGTAATGGCTGGTGGGCAGAGTGGAGAGGGAGACCCCCCCCAAACACTCAGACCAGAAGGGGTCATCCCATGAAGTGGACTGGCGGGAGAAAGATCAAAGGAAACATGACTTCACACGGCATATCGTTAGGCTGCGGAATTCACTGCCATGGGAGGTGGCAACGGCCGCCAGTTGGATGGCTTTGAAAGGGGACTGGGGAAACTCCAAGCCACTGCCTGAAGGAACACACGGAAGCTGCTCCCGATGGTCTTCCGAGTGCTGCCCGGATGCTGCTTGGCCTGCTGGCTCGCCGTGCCTTGAAATAGGCGAGCAATGGTCAATTTCAGCAGAGAAAAATGCAAATACGCATATTAGGAAATTGGCCGAGACGGAGGTGCCAGGGCTGTGATACTCCTACGCGGATCTGTAGTGCCAGCACCCACGGAACGCTGCACCGGCTTCCGCAAAATGAGATGGCGATGGAGGAAGGGCCAAGGGGGACCGAAACGATGCAGGGCGAGAGCCACTCCCCGAGGACGGGTGGTTTGCAGCCTCCGGACTGTTTGGCGTAGAAAGAATGGGGGGGGGGGGGGGACACTTTGGCGGGCTGCAGGGACAGTGGGCCTTCGCAGCAGGGCAGCCCCGGAAGGGGATGGCCACCCGCCACCCGCCTCCCCTCCCCTCAGCTAAGACGCCATGGGTCACTCTTTGTGTTTAAGGATCGCTGCCACTGCCCAGAGGGCTTCACTGGCTGGGCAACAGAGATGTGGCATTCCCAGCTCCCGGCCCTGGGTGCAGGCGGCCTTTGGCTCTGGCCCTTCCTCTCTGCGGGCTTGCGGAGGAGTCTCTGGCTCCAGAGCCAGGCCTGCGGCCGCCCCAGACACCTCCTCTGCCCCCTGTCGGCTGGCAACTCGGCCGCGGGGCTCGCCAGCCAGCCAGCCGCCCGCACCCCGCGCTCCGTGCAGCCACTCGCTCCCAGGGCGGGCCGGGCCTCCCGGGGCTTGAGTGCCAGTGCCCCCTGCAGAAGACGGGCACTCTCCACACCAGCCGCCTGGCGGCTCTGGCCCAGCTGCCCCGACCAGCCGTCAGCTGCTGGGAATTGGAGTGCGGAGCATCCCAGTCGGACGCAGAGCTGGCATTAGAGCATTCCAAAGCCGGAGGGGCGTCAGTTCTTTCGCTCCCGGGCTGCTCTTGTCAGCAGTGGCCTCCAGGCGGCCATTCCTGAACAAGGGAATGCCGGGGGCAGGTGGAACAGGGTGACTCGTCCTGCGGGGGGGGCGGGGGGTGTTATCACTGAACCAGCATAATGAAGGAATTGCTCTTGCCCTGGCTGGGTTGGGTTCACCTCGGCTTTCCCTCACCACCCTGTTTACACTCCCGCCCCCTGCCCATGTGCGAGCGTGCGTGCGCGCGTGCAGGAGGGAGGGGGCGCGTCCTGCCCAGCAGGCACTGCCGGAACGTGTGCTCCCCGCGCCCCTTCGGGGGGAGTGGCAGCAGCGGAGACTGCCAGGCCCGTCCCCCGTGCCTGGCTGGTCCTGCTCTGCCCTGCTCTGCTCCTCTTGGCCGGGTCCTGCTGCGGGGACGGGGCAGGACGCCGTGGGGCCAGCGCTCCAGCACCCGGGACGCGGTCTGCTCTCCCCCCCGCGCACTGATGCGCGCCCCGCCTGGCAAAGCGGGGAGGCTGTGCTTGCGGCTGCTCCCACCCGCTTGGCAGCAGGGCAGGTGCGTTTCCGCCCAGAGGTCGCACTCGGGTGTGTGTCGGTTAAGGGATTGTGAGACTTTCTCTTTTTCGAGGGTCCGACCTGAGCGGCCAGGCCAGGTTTGCGCTCTCGCTTCCTTGTGCCGCATCTTTAACCTGCCCGCAGTCACCCACATCGCTCCCAGTGAGGGGCCTGGTCTGGCTGGAGCGCTGGGGGCACTACCGGTCACCCTCCTCCGGCCCCCCTTTTCTGAATTGCCATGGCGGGAAGGGGGGCTTTGTGTTGCGTGTGACGCTCTGGGCTGCAAGGGGTCTGTCTGCAGGCTGGGGAATTTGTCTGGCAGCAGAGGCCGTATCGGAAAGAAGTTGCAAGCCCACGGGGCCTGTGGCTAATTGGTATATTCCAATGCATGCAGTCAAACCTCATTTACACATCAGTTTCATGCGCCTGGCAAATGGTCAACAGCATCCGGTGGATTTACACACCCTGCTTGGAAGTGCCAGCTCCGTTGTGCAGAGGGAGCAGCGCAGACCTTGAGAAACCTTGAATGCTCGGTTCAGAAATCGTATGGTGCGGGAAAACGATGTCAGCTGGCCTTTGCACATGGTGGTTTTCATGTAAAGGCAGTGTGGTGTAGTGGTCACAACCGCGGGACTGGGATTCAGGCGATCTGGGCCAGCTGGGTGACTCTGGGCCAGTCACAGACTCACAGCCCAACCTACCTTGAAGGGTTGTTGTGGGGACCAGATTGAGAGGAAGAGGAGGAGAATGATGTCAGCTGCTCGGAGGCCACTGGGGCGAAATGGGGGCTCAGCGATGATGTCCCTGGAGGGGCTTCAGGGGGCCTTGCCCCTTAGCATCACCAAGCCCTCTGGCCTTGGTCCGAGGGGCACCCAGCCCTCAGGCCGAGGGGTTGCTCCTGCTGCCCCCGCCGACTACTTTCCCCTGTGATGCATCGCGGCCCCCCATGGTGGGGGTCCTCGGAACACAACAAGCCCTCAAACTCTGTTGCGGTGTTTCTGCGTCAAGCGTTCGGTGCTTAGAACCCACAGAACAAGCAGCGGCCGGTCCTACAGCTTCAGTCCTTCGCCACAGCCCCTCTCTTCACCCAAGCCCAGCATGACGGGCTCCAGGTGCTGCCACGGAGACCCCCGGAAGGGGCAGCACTGCTGCAGGAGCTCCTCCAGCCTTCCAGAGCGGGAGCGAGCTCCCAGCCCCGTGGCAGGGGCCGGCAGCGGGAGGACTGGGCGAGGGGGGCGAAGCCCTCCCGGCGCCCCCGATTGCCGGTCGGTCGGCTGGGCAAAACCTGTGCGTCAGGAAAGCCGCGCAGGTCGCTTGCCGGCGTGGGGGAGCCGACCAGCCTCTCGCTCTGGGGAGGGCGTTCGCCCACGGAGCCTCCTCGGGCCTTTGCGCGGTCCTTCCTGGCACCTCGTCAAGGCCAGCGATGCGGCAAGATCCTCGCGAGATGCCTTCACTCGGGGGTCATGAATCAGCCCAGTGCCTGCCATGGTCCAGTCAAACCGCTCTCAAAATAACCTCACTCATCAATTAATGGAGAGAGGTAAAGTTCAAGAACATAAATCAAATCTCTCTATTAACAGATACAGAAAACCAAGATTACATTTAACTGGATAAACATTGAGCTTGCCTTCTCGGTGCTCTTTGCAAAAAGCAATGCTCTTTGTGATAAACTCACTTGTATCAGGGAGGAAGAAAATGACTGAGGTCTCTGGCTGTCCTCCAGGATGCAAAGTGACCGATGGACTGAGGGTCTCCTACTGGGGGTCTGGGCAAAAGCCAGCAAAGCAGTGGGACATCTTGTCCGGGGCCGATTTCCTCTGAACACACCCCGTAGAAGCAAGAAGCCGGGCTGAATCTCCCCTCCCAGAGAGGCACTCCTGCAGCAAAGGCCTGCCCCCCCCCCGCCCCA